TGTTCAGCATCTTAGCTGTAGAGGGCAGTGTCACTGGCCCTCATATGTGGGATCCGAACCAGGGCCCTCTGGCATCCCAAGCCAGTTCTTAACCAATGCGCCACTCGGCCGGCCTGGTACCTTAAGTTTTAAATAAAACCAGTAACTAGCTGAGAAGAAAGTATACTGAACTTTTATGTTCATAGTGCTACTAAGGACAATATATATTTATTTATTTATTTATTTCAAGGCTTACAATTTATTATAAATTTATAATAAATGAATTTATTAAAACTAATAATATTTTAGTATTAAGGAATCATAAGTGGCCTATACTTACTCACTAGCTTCTTTGGTCAGGTTCAGTGAATAATGGAAGGCCTAAAAAAGTTATTTTAACAACTACATTGTTATTTTATTGTAGCAGATGTGTTTGTTTTGGTTCTTGGGTACTTTGCATTTTCATTTCAATCTAGATATTAAAATTTTATGCCAATTTGAGTTAGAACAAATATATTACAGGATAACTGCTTTTTTTTTATTAGTTTCAAGTGTACAAAACAATGTAATAGTTAGACATTTCACCCCTCACAAAGTGATAACTCCTCTCCCCCAATCTACTACTCCTCTGACATCTTATGTAGCTGTTACAATTCTATTGACTATTCCCTACGCTGTATGCCACGTCCCATATATTAAATTATGGTTGACATTCATTATTATTCAGCTTCGGCTTCAGGTGTACACTGCAGTGGTCAGGCATCTACACTGTCCGTGAAGTGGTCTCCCTAATATGACAAATGTCCATCGGACACCCTGCAAAATCTTTACAACATTATTGGTTATATTCCCCAAGCTGTCTTTCATATCCCCGTGGCAGTCTTGTGGTTACCAATTTGTGCTTTCTAATTCCCCCACCTTCACTTCTCCCTCATCTCCACCCCCCTCCCACCTAGCAACCCTCAGTTTTTTCTCTAAATGTTTAATGCAGTGCTATTCACAATAGCCAAGACAACTGCTTTCAATTAAATTAGCTTCATAATCTCGTGGTACTGCTAAGAAACCAGGGTGATGTAGAGAGGAAAGAAAGCATAGGGTTTTGTGTCAGTTTGTGTTTGAATTGTGACGCTACTAACTGGGTGTTTAATTTCTTTGACCTTAAGTTGATTCATTTGTAAAATGGGCATCATATGATCTGTTTCTAAAGGTTGTAAGGATTAAATAAGATAACACGTAAAATATGCCTACCTCAGTGACTACTATATGTTAGATGTTGAAATAAAGTTATTCCACCCTACCATTCCAACACACATGCTTGTATAACCCAAGTGTAGTATTTGTTTTACTCTCTGCCCCATAGGGACCTCTTGAGGGAAAAGGAGAAAGGAAATCAGTGTACTGTTTTGCTTTTCTTGAAACCCTATACATATCTGAGAAAGTATTTCTAGATTATGGATTCTTAGAAATGTGTTAATATCTAATAATGTCCAAAAAAAGTAATAAACGAACAGGAACATCATAAGCTAATTACAATGAATACATTAGTTGTAGAAGACCAGCTTCCAGTAGTCTAGGACTTTTCTTAATCCATACCACCCAGGTATAGAAGGACTTGCTGTAGGATAAAGACCTGCTCTGCTGCATAAGATTCATAAATCAGAACTCAATTTGGAGTTCTTTAGTTGGTTCTACTTAAAATGTACAGTTTGCTTTCATAGGAGGGAAGGTCTTTTGGGAACCATCATTGCTCAAAAGGATTGGAGGGTGACAGAGAGTGGTTCCTAATAGTTAATTTATTTTTCTTTTGATGTAGAAAGCAAAAGAAAGGAAATTAGCAGCTACTGTGTATAAGGGCTCTTTTGCTTGGTACCAGTATATTTTCATTCAATCTTCATAATATATCTGTGAGGTAGATTGGTGGTATTATCCTCAGCTTACAGAGGAGGAAATTGGGAACAAGTGGCAGAGCTGGGGTTTATTATTAAGTATTTTTGTTGTTTGTGTGTATGAGAGGCATAGTTCTGGGTTTTTTTTTATTTTTTATTGTCTTACATCTAAAATGTAAAAAGTATGTTAGACATTTACATTTAAATGTAAACCCTATTCATTTTTTTTTTTAATTGGGGAATTGGGGGGATGGGAACAGTGCTGGGGAATTGGGGGAAGGGGAACAGACAAGTTGCTGTCGTTTTGTTCTTCAGTCTAGTTGTGGAGGATGTTGCTTCACTGGACCAAGTTGGCACCATCATTGCGCTCTTCCCAGGTGAGGCATGTCAGTCGCCGGCTTCTGGACGGCTGCTCACTGCGGCTGCTGGCCGCTCACGCTGGCTGCTGGCTACACACAGTAGCCCATGGCAACCCACTGCCACAAGGCTGCAGCCTACGCCGTCGCCGGCGACTCATGGCAGCCCAGCTCCAGGTTGAGCTGTTGTTCAGCATCTTAGCTGTGGAGGGCAGTGTCACGGGCCTTCATATGTGGGATCCGAACCGGGGCCCTCTGGCATTCCAAGCCAGTTCTTAACCATCGCGCCACTTGGCCGGCCCAACCCTATTCATTTTTAATAGGACCAACTACAATTTTAAGATAACAGAGATTTGAACCCAGATTAATTTGGTTCCAAAGTTTATGCTGGGCCTTGGGGAATGCAAAGATGAATAAAATATCTTCCATCTTGTTGACCTTGCGGACTAATGTTAATGGTTGCCATGTACGCTCATAGAGTACTCAGATAGTTCCATGCGTTCCAGATGAGAGAATGACTTAATGCTAGGGAAGGTTTTCCAGAGGGGGTGGCCCTGGAGGAAATCAGATTGTGAAGGATAAGTGATATTGCCAGTGGAGAAAGACAGGCCTTTGGATCCAAGCTAGCAGCAAAGCTAGCACAAAAGCGTATGTAGAGAGTGAGAGTATGGCATTTTGGAGCTAAAAGCAGGCTTTCAGTTTAGGATTTTTCTCTATAGGGAAGATACTTTAAAGTAGAGAGAAATGGAAGGATGTAATAATAATAATAATTTTAAGTAACATTCTGAAGGCGAGGTATTGCAGAGAACTATAGAGTTTTTTTTTTAATTAAAATAACCAAATAAGGGTTTTCTATTGACATGTGATTGCTTAGTCTAAGTGACATCATTAATTAACATAATTATCCATATTTAAAAAACATCTTTTAGTTTAAGGTTATCTTCCACTAAAAGCCACCTATTCAACTTTCATACAAAACTTATAGTTCTAAAGACACACCTAGATATTTAGCTTGAATATTTTAGATAATTAGATGTAGTGAAAAAGTAATATTGTTTGGATGGGCAGGAATACTGTTCAGATGATCTTGAAATAAAGTTTTTTGAGCCAAATTATTTTTTATTACATAACAATATATGTTTATTATAGAAAACTTTAGAAATAAAAGAAAAAGATTACCTCTAATCAATAAGCAAAGATAAACTTTTTTGGGGGAGTGTATAATATTCCAGTCACTAAACAAGCTTTTAATATTCATTCAGATTCCAGAGTTCTAGTCAACCAGTGGCCATATTTACTACTTCTTTAAGAAAAATGTCTTTTTGTCTTCACATATTTTACTGACTGAATTACCGTGGCACATTGAGAGTTTAGCTAATTATTACAGTACATTCTGATTTTTATTTAATACCTAAGGTAGTGGCTTCAATTAAAATTTTAACCTACTTGATTAAATATTAACAAATGTTTTAAGTTGCTATTATGCTTTTCTTACTACCAAGTAGACATTATGCTATAGCAACAAGGAACCTTAAAAACCATCAGGTGGGGTGACCGGTTAGCTCAGTTGGTTAGAGTGTGGTGCTGATAACACCAAGGTTACTGGTTCGATCCCTGCATGGGCCACTGTGAGCTGCGCCCTCCTTAAAAGAGTCAGCGATGCCACTGTAGCATGAAAGCAATGTGTAACCAATGACCATGGCTGTTCCCCAATAAAGTTTAAAAAACAAACAAACAAAACAATCTGGTTTGCTTCTTCCTTTCACAAGTGAGGAAACTTTCCCCCCCCCCAGCTTTTGTTCCCAGTGAGTTGTTTAGATTTTCTTTTGTTTCCAGTGACTTACTAGTTTAGCTTTTCTTTTGTTAAGCCCACAGTTGATTACAGTCCTCTTTCCTTCTGGTCAGCCTCTGCTTTTCCATCTCTCAGCCAGTGGTATAAAGAAAAGGGAAACTGAAGAGAGGAGATAGCATGCGCCAGAGAAGTAGAAGGAGCCTGCGTATGTCTGGGTGTAATCATATAACCAGCCTGGAAGGAAGGAATGATTCCTGTTAGCAAAGTTTAAACCTTCGCGTTAGTCATTCTCAGCCATGAACTGCTGCTTGAAGAAAGGGGCCTCCTGTACTTACCAACCTGTACTGTAACCCTTTAGAAAGTTAGTCAAGCTGCTTCCCTGTCTTATTTTCTATTGATGAAGTTAAGTCAGTTCCACCAGAGCTACTATGTTTTGCAGAAAATAAGACCTAGTCAGAAAATAAGCCCTAGCATGATTTACAAGATGCTTGTAATATAAGCCCTACCCCAAACATAAGCCCCAGTTAAGATTGTCAGCCAGACATGACTGTTTGAATAAACGTAGATTTTTGTACATGAATAAATGTAGATTGTTGGACCAATATAAGACCCGGTCTTATTTTGGGGGAAACACGGTAGATAACCTGTAAATTATGAGACAGGTATTAGTCTGGGGAAAAGACTAGGAATTCTTGGACACAGAGGTGGATAGTGCTGCTGAAAGGTCATGGAGGGCACAGCTAAAAATAGTGAAAATGGGTAGTTTGTTTTAATAAATCCCAGAAGGCCTAACACCATTTAAGAGAAAACTTGCTTATAAGCCTTTCATTTCACATACACACACACACACACACACACACACACACACACACAAAAGTCAGAATGTTGTTTTTGAAACATTAAAGTATATTTCATATATTTTCTTGCCAAGGGCTGGGAATCATTCAGCATATATAGAACTGTTTCCATGAAATAATTTGTTTTAAATGTGTTTCTCCTAGTAATTGAGATTTTAGTATATTTTTTATTCTAAAATCCAGTTGCCATTCAGTAAGATAATAATACAGTTGAGTATTTAGTTTTAGGACTCTATTTATAATAGCATATATGAGGTGAAATGTAGGATGCAGGACTATACTGTATTACTGCTTAATTGCCTTATGAAAGTATTAGCTGTCATAATCAGGCTTTGATTTAAGTGGCTACTAGGTAAGTTAAATTCAGAACTTCATTAATATCGAAACATCTACTCTATTTGGTTGGAATAATTAGCCTTCCCCCCCCCACCACTGAAAGTAAAAGATTTTATATTTGGTCTGATTTTATCATATCTCTGTCCTTATTTTGGTAACAGTATGAAACAGCTGTATACAAATGCACTTTCAACCATAAACAGTTTAATGCTTCTAAGTATATATTTTTTTAAAGAAATTGTTGGTAGTTCAAAAGCCACTGTATTCTAACTGCTTTGAATGGAAACACATGCATAGGTTGGTGTGCAAAAGACTGTGTTCCTTTGTGGCCCTAGCAAAAGAATTGTGAATGGCAGAGAAAGTTGTGATTATGTAGCAGCCATAATGCAGGGAAGTGTGTGCGCATCTGGGTTCGCTCCATGCTGAGTGTTCCTGTATGTAGCCAACCCTGAGGAGTGGTACACTGGCAACTGGTGCAGACTTCCTAAGCTGCAGCTTCCTGTAAGCATTTCCTCCATGTCTGTACACTGCCTGCATCAGATTAGTTATGAATCCTTTTTATTAGGATTACTACTGTTATGTTTACTGTTGGTCATCTTGTTAAAACTTGAAATACACTCAGAAGGCCCTTAATTCCAAACTTCCTTGATGGTAGTTCAAACTAGTGACTGAGAATTCTGTACATGATGAGAAGATACTGAACTAGAGCTTACAGCTGATGGATTGCAGCATTGTGGCAGACTTGCAAGGTGTGCAAGACAGTGACCCTCACTCATCCCTGGGGTTGCTGGAGCTGCTGGCTGGCTGTTAGCAGCAAGGTCATTTTTACTTTGGGTCTGCTGTACAAATATTCTATGTGTGCCACGATGGGAAAAATCTTGAGACACGTAGTTTAGCAAATTTCAATCTCTGCCTTTTAAGACAAAAACACTCTTAAAGGCCCCATGATAGAAATCTGTAGTAAGATTTGCTGGGAGTGCTTTAAGTATTGGCTCTGTGCGGTGAGTTTTATTAAAAGGATTGTGGTCTGTGTTAGGATTTTGAAACTTAATTCCTTGGCCTTGCAAAGGAATATATTTGCGAGGGAAGGACAACCCGCCCCGTCCCGATTTTAAACCACACTACAGAGCTATTTGGAATTTACTTTTGGTGTTTTTGTAGGGATTCATTAATCCTAGAAATACTGAATCAAAGTAAATTCTACAGGGCATTATTTTCCTTTGTCTCTTCAGGGTATAATAATATATTCTTCAGGACTTAGAGGACAGAAAACTTCGCTTTGTCACTCCCCACCTACCCCCAGCCTCCAGAAGGGATTTGTAGCAGACCAAAAAGTTCAGTTGTTTTGTGTGTTTGTTTTCCAAATAAAATTTCTAGCCGTAGAAAAATTCTCAACGGATAGGCCAAGATGACATAAAACTGTGAAGGGCATGGTTGATAAAAGGTGGAGTGAGGACTGGGTGGAGTATTTGTTTCATATTGTATCTGAAGTGAGGATGAAGCAGAGATAGGAATGACCTATCATTTCATAGATGAACTTAGTATCTGTGTTAATGGGACAGAGGCAAGCTTAGGTGGATGAATTTCCATTTTAGCCACTGCCTTTTCTTACAAAACACAGACAAAGAGTTAGTGAAAAATTACGTTTCACCCCAACATATTTTTGATGAGGTGTGAGGTCAACAAATAATAGCAAGAGAGAGATGTACTTGTCCTCTAGGAACTAGTGAACTTTAATTCATGCTGGCAAACAACTGACTTACAGTTATTTGGCATTAGAAATGGCTTCCCTTGAGTTTGTTGGGGGAAAAAAATCACTTTTGTGAAGTACCTGCTTGATTGAGTGAAGCTTTAATATATTTTAAGGTCATTCTTATTACACCGCAGCTCAGAATGTCTTCATTTAAAGGTAAGAAAATGGAGACATGGGTTGAAGTGGCCTAACCAAATTTTCTATCAATGACATGGAAGAAGAATGCAAATGCTAATAATTCTTAGTTTGGGAGGGTCTAGACTCTTGTCCTTGGTGTTAAGTCCTGGCAGCGTATGTGGCAGAGTGAGCGCTATGCTGTGACCCTCTGAGTTGTGGAAGAACACTAAGAATCACTTTTCTCTGTCCCACATAGCAGAGAGCAGAGAGCTATGCCAGGAAGTTGCTTGGTCATTGTTGAATGAATACTGAGTTGTAGTCAAATATTTGCGGGATATTTTATATGTTTTAAGGGAGTTTTCAGAAGATAATTGTGATTGATTTAAATATATATTAGCATATTATATGCATTCATCAGTTGGAAATGAGAGGGAGGTATGTGGAGGGGAGGGGAACTGCATTCCGTTTCATTTTGTAGGTAGAATGGGCCCTTGGTGGTTTTATTTATAAATGAAACTGATCCTTTAGCATTTTGAGCTCACAAGGCAAATGCCTTTGGACATTAGATTAGGAATTTCACACAAGTAGCTTACATCTGACTTGTATTTTGGAGAATATGATTATATACTTGCTTCTTTTGCCCAAGGCACTGTTTTTGTATTTATATTGCTTTCTGCAGGTTTACTTTTGTTAACAGTAAATATAATAAGGTTTTAAAATGTCAACACTTTTTATTTTTCCACAACCTCCCAAGACCTGCATCTTGGTGCCAGTGTGTAGCTCTGGATGCCATCGACCTGCAAAGAGGACCAGTTGGGTTTGGGTGAGCCATACGTCCTGTGTGGGACTAACATTTGGCCTACGCTTAGGCCTACTCAGCACCTTAGGTCATGAAACCTAGAACAGCCCTAAAACAGACCTACTTTGAAGCAGGCCATGTTATTAACTAAAATCGAATTTGTCATTGAGTATTGGATAGGAATTGGAGGGGCTGTGGGGTGGAATGGGTAGGGCCGTAGCTTGTGGAGGAGGTGTGTCGACATGGGGGTGGGGAGTCATTTTTAACTTTTATCCATTTCATTCCCTGTGTCAATCTCAGCAAAGATCTGATAAAGAATTGTGTTGCTACTATATTTTTTATTATATGGTTTGAAAAGTGTGTATAAATAATTTTCCTGTCTACATGTTTTCTTTCCTTGTTTTATTAAAATATGCTGTGTAGGACTAACTTGTTTTTCTTTTTCATTTCCATACAGGAAGGAGAAAAATATTGTTCATGTAATCGATGTTATCATTTTTAACTAGTGTTTTGATTGAGGATTACCGTGAAAAGTTTTACTGTTTGCTAGATTCCTAATTTAAAATGCATGTAATCTTTTATAGGAATTTCAACTTTTGCATTTGGTAATAACAGATCTAACAGGTAAGTAAAGAAATGAGATTCTCATACAGTTTTGAAGATAATAAGTTTGGCTGAGAATTTAACATTTTATAACCAGTTTAAGCCTTTTGATGTAGTCAAAGCTAAGACAATAATGTAACTGCCTGTTCCTGTTGAGAACTGAGTGAATCTGTAAATCCACATTTTTGAAGTTTCCTTGGTAGTTTCTGCTGGAGTCAAGTTAGGAACAAGTCTAATGAATGGCCTTTGTAAAATCCTCTTTGTCCTTAAACAGAGGAGTGACCTACAGGAGCAAGGGCTTTCCTGAAGTTTCTCCCTTCAACGGGATGCTTAGCACAACATTGCAGTCAGTGCGGGTTCATGGTATAGAGAAGGAAATTTAACTGAATCGTGTATTAATAATCATAATCTTGTTTAAGATACTGTGAGCAACTCCCAGTCTAAAAATCTATACATAAACGCTCAGCAATAGCCTTACCATTTCCTTGGACTTTTTTGTAGAACTTATAAAATTTATAATTGCCAAAGTATTCTCAGAATTAGCAGGTAAAAATTCTATCACGAACAATCTTTATCCTCACATAGAGTGCTAGGGTATATTGTGGACTTCAGGTAATAAAAGGCATGTAATTTTTTCTTTTTTTGATTCACTGACAGTAAGAAATGTACTTGACTTCACATATATTGATGTCACACAGGTATGTGTGTGTGAAATAAAAGTTTCACAATAAAGTGATGAACTGTTTTGTAATCTCTATTGTATATCCTTTTTTATTAAAATAAATAAATAAAAAGATCATGACCCAACAAATTGGTTTCAAGGCCCACATATGCATATGTAGCTTTTCCATTTCATGTAATGGTCCTCACCAAACTTGGCCTTGTCTTCTCCTATACTGAACTCTGAATATTTTATTTTAAGATGTACACAAAAACATAGACCATAAAATCTCTAAACATGTTGTACTTTTGTTACTCACGCTATCATTTGAGTAAGGCACTTGTGCAGTGGGATTTGTTACTTCCCTGTGCTTTTGGCCCAGTAGGCTTGACAAGTTCCAAGGTGTCATTGGATAGCCAGTGAAGAAGTTATCAAGATTGAAAAAAATGCATCAGCAAATTATATTTGAGCTTTTTACTATATCTTGCTGGCCTGGGCATTAACCATAACTAGTTCTGCTAGGCACCTCTGGTGTTTGGTCCCTATGTAACAATCCTGACTTGACTTTAAAATTCTAGCCTGCTCTCAGTGTGTGAAGTGTAGGCTGAGTTAGGCAACATGGGAAGAAGTGTGTTCACACATGCAGATAAGGAGTGGTTGCATATTATAAATTTTTCCTTTAGAATAGGCACACCTAACCTAAACTTCAGAGACTGGTACGTTTTTTTCCCTCTTCCAGCAATAATCTTTATCATTAGATTTTTATACTTTTGATATTTGCCTTTTCTAAGTCTTAAGTATACAGAAGTGCAAACCTAGTTTTTAAAAAATGAAAAGTAGGGCAAGATGAGATCCCTTTTCTGTCTCAGCTTCAGAGCTGAAGAAGGCTGAAGTAAGTTTTAGGTTGCATTCCTTTTTGTGGCTGATTGGAAATGCTGTAGTGATTTGTACATTCAAATATATTGAGAACTGTAGTGTGAAAGATACTCAGGTTTAACTCTGTTCCCTAGAAATATTTCTGTGTGAGTAGTCAGTCTTGTAACAGTCTTGGGTTAACCCTCCATCAGGCGCAACTGATCTCACAGATTCATTACACACACATTTTCAAATATGAAATTCATCTTTTAAGTCACAAACACGACATGGTGATAGGTTATGGTAGAGGGGGAAGATACGGAAACGATGAGTCATGATACTTAAGTTAACTGTTAGATATTTGGGAATTTGTGTGCAATGAATCTGTGAGATCAGTTGCGCCTGACGAGGGTTAAATGTTCCGTGAGCACAAAATGTTCAGTTAGGTAAATAGTGTAAAACAACACTTTAGTCTTAAAGCTATCTTAAATAATCAGAACTCCCCCAATTTTTACACTACTTGTATTAATGTTCACCAGTGACCACACATATCCTCTCTACAGAGATTCTGGCCTTTAGGCCAAGTATCCTCCCACCTCTGGTACAGATAGAATATGAAGGGCCTCCATCCCTCTTTGAAAATAAGAGCTATTGAGAAGCCCTGGACAGATGTATGGCACATCTGTAGAGCAAAGGCTTGCAACTTTCGAGCTCTACAAAATTGACTCCTATTAAATAAAAGATTGTAGTGTTTTTTGTTTTTGTTTTTTTTGGCATCATAGGTCTTTTAGACCCTGATAAAACTGGATTTTCTCTCCAGACAAGTAGACCTACATACAGCCTCTTCTGTAAGACATCAAAGAGTATATACAAATCTGCTTCATGCACATCTGTTGAATCAACCCTTATATTCTCTCGGATTGGTGACAGAGTGTGAGAGTTGGTACAGGGACAGCAGAAATAGCATCGGGTTTTTTTAACCTGATATTGTTATTACATGTTTATTAATCATGGATCAGCATTTTCTTTCATTCGCTTGAAATTTGACGAAGTTGTTACCTGCTAAAGGGGGTCCAGAAAGGAGAGCTATCCCAGCAAAGAAACAGACAAATCCCATAAACCTGTGCATTATCGAATGCCCAGCCATATCAACCTGTAGAGATTAGAATTCAGTATTAGCCGCACTGAGGATGAAATTCTTTAGAGACCTATGCCTACAAAGAGACAAATACTGTTCCTGTCATCTGAAACTGCACAGCTGACTGCTGAGGGGATGCGGATGACCTTTTGTCCTGATATTGTAAAAGAGCTAAGGCAAATGGGGAACAGTCATTTCGCTAGACAGGCAGTGTTCATTTTGTTAATAAGGAACATTGGGTTTTTGTTTCTCTTTTTAGTCTTTTAAGTGGTTCAGGGGTCCTTTCTCCCCTGCACCTCACTTCTCTTTTCTGTTAGGAAATGGTATTTACACTCTAACCTGACTGTGGTATTCTTGAATCCACCTGCGGCTTGAGTACCGACCATTGGTTTGTAAGAAGTCATACCAGAAGGAGTTGATTTCAGCTTTAGAAAGTTTGACTTTTGTCCAAGCCTCATATAATATCCTGCAGCACTTATTCTAATATTGATTATCAGCCCAGAGCTTTCCCAGGAGCTGTGTTCCAGCACATTGGGAACCTAGTTCTAAGAAGAACCCCTGGGGTTCCAAGAAGAACCCAGAAGTATTTGTATAAGTATTTCAGTTCCTTTTGGGTTTAGGACTTTTAAGTCAATTTGGGGTCAAATGGAGATGAGTTTAAAAAATATATATCCCTATTGAAATACACAGAACTTCTCTCAACAAGAGAGAAGCCACACTGGTCAGGGAGCCCCTTTTTCTCTTAGGAAACATCAATATTGTGTCTTAGAAGGAGCCAAAGAAATTTCTGGAACTGAAGGAAAGAAGAACACAAGCCTAACCTGGGAGACTGACAAGCAAAATGGAATCCTGCTGGTCCCTTTTTGCTTTTATTTTCTTTCCTGTTCCATGTGGATAACCCTCTCATCGTCCCTCCCCCCCGAGGTAAGATGAATAACTAGACAGGATCGCTGCAGGGTTTCTGAGGCCTTGGGTATGATGTGTTTTAATTATAGAATTAATACAAAATACATATTCTCTTTGGGGGAGAGTATTACTATTATTTTTAATTTTGGGGAAGGGGAATAGTGTTGGGGAATTGGGGGAGGGGAATAGTGTTGGGGAATTGGGGGAAGGGAACAGCCAAATTGTTGTCCTTCAATCTTAGTTGTGGAGGGCGCAGCTAGCTCAGCTCCAAGTCCAGTCACCATCCAGCCATTAAGCTCAAGGTGCCGTGTTCAATCTTAGTTGCAGGTGGTTATAGCCCACCATGGAAATTAAACTAGCAACCTTGTTAGGAGCACTTGCTCTCACCAGCTGAGCCATCCTGCCACCTGTTGGCAGCTCAGCTCGGGCGCAGCTCACTGGCCCATGTGGGAATGGAACCGGCGACCCTGTTGCTCAGAGCTCACGTTCTTAACCAACTGAGCCACTTGGCCAGCCCTGGGGGAGATTATTATTAATCCTTGCTTTTACTAAATGGTTTAACAATGTTAATGAGTGTGTCTACTCACCAGTTGAGGAATTATCAGTGCCTGGTAACTACCAGAGAAAACAGCAGAGAAGACGGTATAGGTCATAAGTAGTGGAAACGTGGTGGCTAAAGGAGCAAGCAGGTTAGTGATGCCACAGAGGATGAGGTAAGACTTGTGGTAATGGTACTTTCTGATCCAGTTTTGATCAGCAACCCATCCAGAGATAACCTGACTGACTGTCTCAGTGATACCTGGAACAATAGTAAAAAGGTCTTATGAAATCCCATTTCTGTTTCCCTAGCCCCTTTGAAAAATGTAAACGCCCAAGGCATCTTTGCCTAAGCAGTAGGACTTCATCCTGTGGCTAGGACATGAGAAAAAAAATGGTCCCATTTGTCTACCAAAAGATTCTGTCATTACTTACATATTCCAAACTCATCTAATAAAATATTAGAAAGGCACCTCCAGGGTTGGGTAGAAGACCCATCAGGTGCTTTCTCTGATTGTGTTTCAAAAGTTCATGCCATCAAACTGGAATTCCTGGTTACAGAGGACCCTGGGCTCAGGTGACCTTCCTCAAAGAGGTCCTGTAGGTGAGGAAGTGAGATTTCTCAACCTCTAGTTAGTTCTGTTCCTGTTCCTTCAGGCCAGTGTCCTGGGGAAGTCATGTGGTGGATGATTAGAGTGTAAATAATAAAGTCATTATTGGGGGAACAAAAGTAGATGTTGGAACGCTTACAATTTTATGTGAGGCTTTGATAAGTCCTCTAAAGGTTATTATGCTTAACTTGATATGTAGGAGGTCTGGAAATGGGAGATCATATTTTGAACATTGGAGCTGTGGTGTAACTTGAATAAAATTTAAAATTTTCATTCAGTGTCATAAAACATTCTTATCCTTTATCCTGTTATAAAATAATGTAGCAGTTAAATACTGAGAGATTTTCACCAAGAGTAGCATGAGCTACAGTTGTTTTGTACTTTAAATTTTTCCTATGGTTCAAACAAAACATGAATTGCTCCACACACACAGATAAAAGAAAGAAAAAATGCATACTACCATTTCTATATTTTTACAGTTATTTCCTAGGATACACATTGACTCTTTGTTACATTCTTTGGTCCTGTTGTATAGCCCTAATCTGATCTAAATTGACACTACCATTTTAGTGAGAAAATCAGTTTAGCAATGTATCGCGCGCGCGTGTGTGTGTGTGTGTGTGTGCGTGTGTGCGTGCGCACACAAGCTTTTATTTGGCTGAAGCCGAGTACCTTTGCAATTGGAAAGAGGATGCACTCAATTGTGTAGGGCTTGGTAAATAGTCCTGCAAGAAATTAGCAAGAGAAAAGTCAATGTTGAGCTACTGAGAATTTCCAGATAATTAGCACAAACCAGTGCCATTTCATCCCTTTTTTTTTTAGACTTCTTTTTTTTGTCACTTGAGAACTTGTATGTTCTGGATCAAGCATCCTGTTTCCATACATTTTTATACGTAACTAAAATGATTGTTTCTATTTTTAACTTATCCTAAACTTTACATGCATTACTTGTTTAACCCTCATAACCTTATGGGGTAGGTGCTCTTATCTCTATATTACAGAAGAAGAAATTGAGCACAGAGAAGGCAGGTAACTTGCCCAAGGTCACACAGCTAGGAAGTAGCAAAGACTAGAAGTCGAGCTCCAGAACCAATCCTTTCAACTACTGCACTATGCTACCTAGGATTTTCCTTTTTCACTTTTTTTTTTTCTTTTTGCAGGAAAGTGAAAATGATTTTTTGGAAATGAAAGTACACACTTGAGAGGAAAATGCAGGTGGACTCAGAATGAGTCGTACCTACCTAGGATTTCTTTTGCTTCCTGGAGTGGCTTTTAAAAATAAGTGTTTTCCAACAAATACTTAATGTTGACTGTGTCAGACACATAATGTAAAATTAGTAAGACCTTTTTTGTTTGTTTGTGAGGTTAAAGTAAGCTTTCTTACCAGCTACAGAAATGAGGTAGGAGGCGTCCATCATATTAATCCCCAGTGTTTTGGCTCTGGCTACCAGGTGAAAGGTAGTGATGAAATATGCCAACTGACTGAAGAGAAAAGACCACATCATTATGTAGAAGAAAGGATTCTTAAAAACAGAAATATCACATAATTGTCGTTGATAGCTCCACAAAATAGCCTTTTTCTTGAAACTTTCTTCATCAGTTATTAGGAATAGCCTGTGCCTGTTGGGCCCATTGTTGAACTCTTCATTTCGATTTTGTGAGTCTGTTAAAGTTGTCCCAGGTTGTCCAAACTTCTGTGTAGCACTGTCCCTGGTGGTAGGCTCCTGTGTCTCTGTGCAGTGCAGTGTTTCTGTCTCACACACTGCCTCTGGACCACGTGCAGACAAACTGCTACCTTTATCTCTAACACCAGAATTGCTCTCGCTTGTAATATGAATGGGTCTTAAGAGCATACTAGAAGGCACCAAATGCAGTGTGATAGCTCCAAGTAATGCAAGGGCACCTAAATAGAGAAATTGAGTTGTTAAAAATTACCTCTTATTTCACAATACTCCGTATTCTTAGGCTCAGAAGAACTCTGGCACTAAATCTTCATAGTGCAATAATTCCTTTGTCTCCTGAATTTAACTGAAAGTATTTAAATCTGATGACTTAGTTGTTAGCTGTCTACACTGCTGTATCCTTGTGAAAACAGGGTGTTCCCTGGAGGTAGAAGATCAGAAAGCTGCATCAACAGATGGCATGGAAGGAGAGAGTGTTATTTGTGCTAAAAGAGAAAAGAATAGCGTTTTTTTTGGTGGAGGGGCAGGGATTGGGCTGGTATTTCAAATATTTAAAAATTACATTGTGTTTTCAATAGAGATTTTAAATATCCTGAAGTGAGTATAGATTTAGGCCTAGTAAATACAGAATTTTTTTTTTTTTTTTTTAGCTGAGCCATCCTCCCACATGTTGGCAGCTCAGCTCGGGCTGGAATCAAACCGGCGGCCCTGTTGCTCAGCGCTCACACTCTTGAGCGAGTTCTTAACCAGCTGAGCCACTCAGCCGGCCCTAGTACATACAGAATTTGATAATGGGAATCACTTGGAAACTGTCTTGGAAAAGGGGACAGACTTTCATTTCATGACATGTTTAATTTTCTTGAAAGAAGGCAGATGCCAGTTTTGCCTTTGAACCTGAGTAGCTCCTTGATTTCAGTGATTTGTGTGTGGTGCTTCTAGATCTACAACTGGCTGTCTGCTCTGCTATCCTGTATTACGAATTTGTCAGCTGGTCCTGTTCATCATGAGACTCCTGGTGGTTTCTTACTTAGGAAAGATTCAGCAAAACTGCTCTGTAGATAGAAATGGGCTTATGTACATATATATGTGCATATCGTATTTTTCCAGTAATTTAAGATTATTTTAATCCAAATGTTTTATCTCAGGCACAAAGAAAATTTTGGAGTGAATGATTTTCATTTGTGAAAATTTATAGTTGGCAGTAAGAGATTAAGTATTATAGAACATAATTCTCTTTTTACCTTTTCTCCTTCCTTCCTTCCTTCCTTCCTTCTTTCCTTCCTCCCTCCCTCCCTCCCTCCCTCCCTCCCTTCCTCCCTTCCTTCCTTCCTTCTTTTGCCTATCTTAGTGGGTCTGATAGAGGAGCCATTTTTTTTTTCAACGCAGGTTTTTCTTTTTCTTAGAGGGAAAGTTTGAAAAGAATGCTTTGGTGATGGGAGGGAGAGGTAGGGAGTCCTCCTCTCCCCAGGACTATGGCTTTTCCTGCAGGTATCTCCCAGCCGCACCCTCTGTCCCCTCAGACAGAAACCCTGTGGTGAGCCCTGAGTTGCTTGTGTGGCCGGTAGAGCCTGAAGGGCATTCAAGGTCCCTTCTGCTGTGTACTCTCCAAGGAAGAGGAGCACGTTTCCTTTTAGAAATCATGCACATTTCCACTCTGGCTGCAAAAGTCTTCGCTTGCATTCCTCAAAGGGGAAAAACAACATGAACTCTTGCAGAGCTGATAGAAACAGAATGACTCACCTGTCCAGTCATACAGATCTATCAGGGCTTTTGTAAAAGGTGCCAAGAGAAATGTCAGTCCCATCCCTGAACGGGCAATAGCTGTAGAAAACGCTAATCGTTTTTTGAAGTACTTGCTAATTACCACCACACCTATTTGGAACACAAGAGCAGAACCCAAACCTAAAAAGAAAAACAATAGGTTGGAATCACTTAACTTGAAGTGCCCTGGTACCAGACTAAATACTCTACTGGATCTGAGATAATCAAACTAGGCCTTTTGGACCCATGGACAGTAAAAGGGAAAGTTCCTAGTTCTCTTTTTTACAGTTTTGTTTTATATAATGGACTCACCAGGTAACATTCCCATAGTCACACAAAGAAATGGAATGCTTGTAGCCTGGCTGCTGATCACATATCCACCAGCAATAAGGAAAGCCCCAAGAATGGAGGCAGTTTTCGTTCCACATATGTCACAGATAACGGGAACCAGGGGACCTGGAGGAAAGAAAGAAAGGCTAGTACTGGGTGCCTTCTGATGTGCAATTTAAATGAGCAGCTGAAGAAAAAAGGGAGGATGCTACTTTTGGAGTATTGTGTATCCTTCAAAAAGGTATCTGTACTGAGTTTCTTAATGTTCCCCATCCCACATTATTTTGCTTTTTGGAAGAAGAGTTGTTTTTTAAGGAAAAGAGGATTGTAAATAAGCAGGTTTGGAGGGGGAAGTTTCCTGAAAATACATTATAAAACTTACAAAAAGACTGCATCTAGGGGCCTGTGACTAGAACAAAGTTTGATCATTAACCTCATCCTCCACCACACATCGTAGCTCCAGACAGAACTAAAGGTGGAGGAATTGGTTCTGTTTTGAGTACGCTTGAGTGATCAGATCAGAACTTCATGTCCTGACTTCACAGCTGAGAGACTGGCTCACTGAACCTATGTGAATGCACCGTGGAAAGAAACAAGACATGAGAAATTCAACCATGGGATTGAGTAGTTGGATTCTTCAATGTTCTTTGTGTGAACTCTTAATTTTTCCAATTTTACCAAGTCAAGTGGAGGCTAAAGACTGCAAATCCTTACTTTTCTCAGCCACACATATTAATGTAATAAATGAACCTGAGTTTTAGCAACACTTCAGCCTTGAGTGACTGAGAGATGAGTCTCCTTGGAATTGCCCCTTGTGATCCTTTTCCTTAGACACCAAGCTTATTGCTGGCTTCCTACCTGCAGTATAACCAAGACATGACATGATGGATCCAATCCAACCAGTTTGCTCTGAGGTGCTTCCAAATTCTTCTTGAAAAACCACGAAGAAAATTGCAAAAGTCTTGGTCATCCCTATCACAAACACATTGACCTAAATCAAAGCAGACCAAAGAGTCCCAAGTCAGGTGGTGCGTGAGCCATTACAGAAGAGGTTCCGCTGCCCGGCTCACCAGTATTGACCAGTTCGTTTGGCAGTTCCTCATACATGTAATATTTTATGGGGTGGTCATCCCCTAAGAGCTTCTCTAAGCACTTTACATGAAAACATCTCATCCCTATGAGGCTATGGAATAGGTGTGTCAGTATTGAACTAGAGATCAGGAAATTAAGGTTTAGAGAGATGAAAAGTTGCTCACGATGGAGTTGCTGGAGCTGAGATTTGAACCCTGAGAGAGACACCTTCAGCGAACCAGTACTCTCCTGTCCTATTACAGTAGCATCTGTGAAAGACAGCTAAGTCCAGTTACCTTTGTGAGAGGCGCATTGGTCCAAAAGGTCAAGAAATGTTCTGTCAGTTCTCAGGTTAGCTTTGTTGTAATACTCTTGAGCTGAGTCCCCTCACTCACTTGAAACATAAATAGGGTGACCATATAATTTATCCAGATTGAAACAGGAAAGCAAAAAGGAGCACTTAATTGATGCCAGGACAACAAGGGTAGGTCCCCGTATGGTTGGGTCCTGGGCCCATCCATTCCTTTTGTCCCACCCTCCCCTCTAGTAGGCGGAGCATTCCTTCCAGGTCAGGCTTGCTCTCTGTGGAGGAGTACTAACGTTTGTTTAGTGGAATTCTGTTTAGCCTGGGGCAGTGAACAAAAATGGAAGCCACCTAGCCGGGTCAGCAGCCGCTCAAAGCCCTGGAGCTGTGCGTCCCCTTTCCTTTTTCCAGGGGCCTCGGTTTTTCAAGGCCACTTTCTCTGCTTTCAGCCTGGCAGTGCATTGCTTAAGAATCGCAGACCCTGGGTTCTCTTTCACTGATTCCACTTTGTCTGTCCTCCGAGTAAATATTTCCCCCCTGGGGGGGTCTCCATTCATCTCGCTTTATATCTGTTCCATATACAGTCATTAACTTAATTGCGACACTTGTACTCATGGTGTAATAATTACTTAGCACTGTTCTGCACTGTCAGCCTTCTTGGCCTGACTCCTGCCTCCGCTTACTCTTAGGGGCGTGACCTTGGGCAGACTATTTCATAGAAGTTAAACTTCCTCTTTTGTAAAGTGGAGATGAAGTAAATGTTACTTAGCTCATAGGACTGTGAAGATTGAGAAAGTTCTGGTAAAGTACTTAATACAGATGCTTCTTGACTTAAAATGGGGTTACATCCCAATAAACCCATAAGCTGAAAATATCCTAAGTAAAAAATGCATTTAATACATCTACCGAACATTGTAGCTTAGCCTAGCCTACCTTAAATGTGCTCAGAACACTTGGCATTGGCCTACAGTTGGGGAAATCATCTGAACACAAGACTTTTATACTAAAGCATTGACTGTATCATGGAATTTATTATGTGTATTGCTTTGCACCATTGAAAAGTCAAGTCATTAAGTCAAACCATCATAATTCGGGGACTGTCTACTTAGCACTTAAACTATTGCTTATGATTTATTGTGTAACCATTCTGCTTTCCCAAGAGCTTCATACTCATTTATATAACTGTCTACCATCTCTCTCTAACTCAGGTCAACTCATCCAAAGCTAAATTCATCTTTCCCTTATCCCATGCCTACTCTTGCTATTTTTCTTGATTTGTACCATCCACCGATTCACCCGAGTCTGAGACCTGCCTCCTCTGAGGCACGTCATTCCCTTATCCCCTACCTGCCAAATAATCAAGACCTTTCCCTTCCATCTCCATAGCTAGATTCTTACTTCAGACTAATATTTCTTGTCTGGAGTAAGGGACTGAATCAGTGGTGGTGCTCCGAGATTGCACAAGTTGGGGGTGGTGAGAAAGAGGCCTCTGAATATGTTTTTTCCATTCTGATTTGATAGAGGCTACTAATTTTTTATTATTTAGAATGAACAATGCTATAGACACCAGGGTTGTGTATTCAGAAGTGAAAAAAGATATTTTTATAAGCCCCTATTCAGACAATTTGTAATCAGAATGCTCCTCGTAGGTGCTCCTATCGGAAAATGAGGCTAGGGAACACACACAAACCTTGAACCACCCAGACTTGTTTCAGTTCAAAATACTCAGGGTGGTGACTTTGTCACAGGGTGAGCAAGGAACACTGCAGCGAGGCATCGTTCTGGAAAACAGCCTTCCTGTGTCTGTGGACATGAGTTCTGTGCTGGTCCCTACAGGATGCTGATGTCTTCATCTGAATTTGGCAAGCCCATGGTTCCCCCAGTTCAGCACCTGTTTTTTCCAGCCTGTCTTGGATGTCTGGGCATAGCAGCCATGAGTGGATAGGACTTGTCTCTAGTAACAGTCTGTGTCTCCCACTTAGGAAACCAAGTCAGGCGAGGACAGCTTTGCGTCTACCCTGCCCATCTCCTTAACTTGTAACCGTCCAACTTTGTTTCTATTTTGACTCTAAGAATAAAAATCTTTTTCCCAAGGTCTGGATTTTCCCTTAGTTAACCAGGCAGACCAGATAAATATATTTCCTCCCATGCTTTGGACCAAGGCAGTTTGGTTTCAGTCCTGTCCTAGAGTCCACATCAGACATTGTAAGCAGGCTCATCCCAAAATCAAAGCCCCTAGAAATTCTGTGGCTGAACCAGCTCCCTCATTCCCTTTTTATCTGTAAGAGCATGCCTCCCTCCCCCAAATGAATTTCCTCACCCTCATCTAATTAGAATATTGTCTTTGGAATGGCAGGGGGGGGGGGTGCTGGATCAGACACGGTGGCCTCTTTTGAATACAGAGCATCAGGCTTTATCAGAAATTATTGTTTAATAACAATTTCCTTCTACCCTATGTCCCTCTAGTGTCAGTCACCCTAGCTCTTCCTGGTCTTCACAGACAAACTAAAGACTAACTAGCCTGTCAGGCTTTCTCCACTTTCTTACCCCAGCACTCCACAGTACCAGCTGTTAGCAAGGTTATCAGACACCCCCTGTTGCTAAGCTAATAGAAGCCCATTGTCATTTCTGTGATCTGACTGCTCAGCAGCGCTTTCTCCGCCTGGACATGCCTGCCTTCGTTTCTGTGAGGCTGCATTTCTGCATCTCTGCTGGCTTCTCTGACGGCCTCAGTTTCCTCTGGGCTCCACCCGCCATGTTGATTTCCCGCAGGGTGTTGCCCTAGTGTCTCTTCCTTTCCCTGGAGCTTTTACCCACGCTGCCCCACGGTTCACACCACCACGTGTGCTGCTGACTCAAGTTTCAGGATACAGGTCCTGCGCTCCAGGTGCCTGTGTGGAACCCAATAACGGTGATGCCACAAGCCCCTCAGACTCAGTGTCCAAAATTAAGCCATCCGCAGATATAATCCCGGTCTTCCCATGTCCCCACCCCGAAAGCACTTTTTAGCACTTTCCAATGCTACTGGGACAGTAAAATGTGTGATTGTCCTCAAATCCTAACTGCCATGCAGCCAGGGCAGTTGAGCTGTTGCTGGCGTCTGGAACAGTCTGTAGTTTTAGGGGACGGCAGGGAGGAGACTGGATGGGAATGCTGCTTTCAGTCACTCAAGGCAGATGTCAACTTTCTCCGGGTTCTTTGTGGGCCACCGACTTGAGCCGCTGTTGGCAGTTCCTGCCCTTGCTGTGCCCCCACCTCGGACCCCGTTCGTTCAAATGCAAGGATTTCCTAAGTGATCTCGTTAGGCTGCTGGATGCCCTCTTAGGCAGCAGGAAAGGGAAAGTATATTCTTACCAGGAAGAAATGAAGCACAATCATCCATCCCCAACCTCCATCCAGGGCTTTAGTGTACGGCCGTGCCCTGCCCGCTCTCTTCTGCATGGCACTTGGTCTTCAGTGAGGAAGGTCCCTGTGATAAGTCTAAGACAGAGTTGAATCAGCCGACAAGAAACGGATCTAAACTTTTAAACTTTATTTTTCTCTGTGGTATCAAACCACTTGTACTGTCATTTTATTTTTTAGCCCATCCTTTAAAAATAGATGAGTTCCTCTTGTTCCTAAAGTTGTTTATAGACTCTGAACTCAATTTCACAAATGCGAGCAGAACTTTATATCATCTTTGGGGAGTTTTCTGGAGGTCTTGCTGCCTGGCTTCCCCTGGCAAGTCCACATGGCTTTGACAGTTCTCTTGAAGAATGTCCTTAGTCATGTAAAAGCCTGCCTGACTATAATGCCCCCGTATCCCTGTTTGTTATATAATCATCACCCAGGCAGAACCAAGGGAGAGGTAAGAAAAAGCTAAGGAATGGGTGTGATTTGAGGGACATCAAAGCCAACACAAAAAAATCATTTAAACCTGTTTAAATGGCATGAAGATGACCACTCAGTTTATTTCAGGTAGGAATTGCAAACGAGTTACCTGGAAAGCTTGACCTCACTGATGGTGGGGTGGCCACTCCTAGCACTGTCCTCAGCATCCAACCCCCAGATCTGTAAGCCGAATCCTGGGGGAAGCAGCGCCTCACTCACCTTCTGGTCCTTTGGGTGAGCTCTTGACTTAGAGAAATAAAACAGGGAGGGGGAGCCTCGGGTTTAGGAATTCCCTTCACAACGCACTTGTTAAAATGAAGATATTCTAAGGGACCAAATTGACATGACAACAAAATGTAATGACTGTTCCTTGAATGGATCCTGGACCAGAAAAAAGGTTATAAAGGACTTTGGGAGGTCAATTGGGGAAAGTTGAATATGGACTGTATGGTAGACAGATCTCTTGGGTGTGATGGTGGTCTTGTATTTCTGCAGGAGAGTGTGTTAAGAAGTATTCAGGAGTGAAGTGTTATAGTCTGCTGCCTTCTCACAAATGGTTCAGTAACACACACACACACACACACACACACACACACACACACACACACACACACACACACACACGGTGCCCAGAAAATGTATACATATTTTAAGAAAGGAAAAAACTATTAAAATTTTAATATATACTGATAACAAAAGGTGAATACAAGTCATGTGTATACATATTTTTGGCACTCCCAGTGTGTGTGTGTGGAGAGAGAGAGAGAGAGAGAGAGAGAGGGAGAGAACTAGCAAAGAAAGAAAATGTAAGTGTTCTGAGGAAGAGGTCCAGCATTGTTTGTTTCCCACTGTCAGGTCGACAGGCAGGCCACTGCTTACTGGAAAGGAGAATCTGCCAACAGGACATGGAATAGGTCCTCTGTTGAGTTGCCTGGGCTGGGGGAGAAGGTGGTCATTCCAAATATAGAAAACCAACCCCAACAAACAATCCTGTTTTCATCTTACCTTTGACTTGCTCAGCAAAGGAATCCTCCACAGATGAGGCACTCTGGGAAGAAAAATATACAATTTTCTACAATGTTACTGTTTTTTTAAAGGCAGTTCATTCGCTGCACTGTGAAAACAAGTGAGCATTGTGAGAGGCCAGGAAGCTAGAGCCGATTTAGACTCACCTGCCAGTGGACTTTACTTCCTGAGGAAAGACTGATTTGACATTATCCTGGGCCTTCCCTCCACCCACCCTGACTCTGTAGAGTTTTTCAAAAGCAAGCATTGGAGTAAACCAAGTAGAAAATCCTCTTGGTAATCACTGTTGAATTAATTTAGCAAGGACATCATTACCCTGAGGTGGCTGTGGTGCTGTAGTGGCCTACTTTAGCAAATCCAAATCTAAGCCCGTAAAAGCCTCGAGGTTATGAAATCAAAACCTAAAGGAAACCAATTACAAACAGCCAACCAGGCTTTAGGCTATAGCCAATCAATAATTTCCTTGCTTTGCTTCCGCCTTTTCTCCATAAAAACCTCTCCCTGAGCTCCTGTTGGTAGAGTGCTTTTAACCACTTTCAGTTTGGTGTTGCCTGATTCAACTAGATTCTGGCTCAAATAAGTTCCTACAATTTTTACTATGCTTCAGTTTATCTTTGAACACTATGCTCAAGGCAGGGCGTGGGGCCCCAGAACTCTGATACCTGTGCCTCTACTGTTTTTCAGAAATGCCTTCAGGACATCTTATTGGGTTGTCTGAAAAGTCATGACGCTTTTTTGCAAAGAAAAACAGAAAAAAATACATCATGACTTTTCCGACAACCCAGTATTTTACAGGGGAAAACATACCACTCTCCCAGAGCTGGGAGATAACCTTTCCCTGGCTGCAAATGGCAATCTTCAGGAAGTTTGGCCTATTTGTATGGCCTTTTGTGTGTTGACTAAAGATTCTGGGTCGTAATTTGGAGTTCTAGGCCCCAAACTTTCTAGGAAATGGTTAAGGCTGTCTCCTAGAAAATTACTGGGATGATTCAGCTTTCCTTCTTCTGTTCCACCCTCTACCTAAAAAAAAAAAAAAAAAAAGGTCAACAGGAAATTGCCTTTCATCTCTCCAGCACCAACATTCCAGGTTTCAAATCAGAGTGTATTTTAGGCCAAAGTATGTTTTTGTTTTATCTGGAAAATCTGAACATATTTATGCATACTCCTTTTTTTAAAGTGAGAAACTACTCATGCTCTTAAAACCAAACTCTGTAACACTTTTTGATTAAAATACAGAATCACAGCTTAGCGGTTTGGGAAGATGCCCCGTAAATATAGTGATGGAAAAGGTTATGCAATTATGTGATGCTGGTGGTAGGGATCAAATAAACCTAGGGCAGGAGGCAAAAACCCCAAAGAGAGAAGGTGAATACTTTTCAGACTGTTGTTTGTAGTTATGAACATACTCTGGAAAGCACTTTTTAGTAAACCTTTGTAGGACTGATTTTTTTTTTGGATGCTTGCTGCTTTTTTAAAGAAGGGCTATCTATGATTCTGATCACTGAATGAGATGAGGCTAGGCTTTATGTTGATGGAGAACTCTGATGCTGAGGGCAGATTTGCAATGTGTCAGAACAGTGAGTCATTCACAGAGACTAGGAGGGCTGCATAGTCCTCAGAGACAGACCCCTTGAAACATCTTTCATAGAGGAAGCTTGGAGGTGTAGTGGGAAATGCAGACTTGGTTAGAATCTCAACTTTGCCGTTTTTTAAGCCTGCAGGTTCTTGGCCAGTTATCCTCTCTGTGTTTCCATATCTGTAAAATGTGGCTAATATTATTTTGCAGGTTTGTTGTGAGGACTGACTATATATGTATATGTGTGTGTATGCATGTATGTATGACTGTATATTATCATACCCACTGTTGGGACTTTGTTCACTAAAAATTGTTAACCAAGTGAGGCCTAATATTAAGAGCAAAGAATCCTTAAGTCACCGTTGGGACATTAGTTAACATTTTGGCATCTGTACCCAATTGACTTAATAAAGCTTACAGGTCTTTAACTAAACATAGATAGTTCCCTTAACTTCTAACATTCTAACTCTTGGCCCTAAAGCTATTCAGCAAGAATTGCAGCTTGATTTCCTAAGTCATCACTATTACCCTCGCTCTACTGTCAAATACAGCCCATGAATAATTTTTAGCATTTAGCGACTCAGAGTGCAATACAGATGTACCATCCAGAATTAGAAGATTTTACTTTTAGCTGAATCTTTCCCTGTCCTCATTCAGTCTTGGTGTAGAAAAGTTAACATAGCTGGCCTGAGATTCTTATCCTTTGAAAGCCTTGCTTACAAGGTTGCCCTTTGGCTGGCATCTGGGAACTTAGATTTTGGGAGGGTTTCCACCATTCCTTCAATTATAAAAGTAGATCACTGTGCTAATTTATTTGTGCAAACAATATAGTTTATGCTAAACACTTGCTTTCCTTTTGGGAGTGTAGAATTTTGAGCAAATTCCAGGAGAGGGTACCTATGTGATCAACCTCCAATAAAAAACCTTGGAGAGGGCCAGCCGAGTGGCGCGGTGGTTAAGAGCTGGTTTGGGACGCCAGAGGGCCCCGGTTCGGATCCCACATATGAGGGCCAGTGACACTGCCCTCTACAGCTAAGATGCTGAACAAC